GGCTTAATGATTAATTAGATGGAACATTGTGGGTGTGGTGTATGAATGTTAACACTCTAATAATTCTTTAGTATATTACTTGTGTGATGTAAGAATGTTAACACTGTTATAATCTTTTTTTAGTAATAATACTTGTGTGGTGTAGAAGTGAATCATTTACTGCTTGCAAACCAATGATGGTAAGATGATGTCATGGGGTAGGACTGGATAAGTCTGACTTCTTCCTACTCCATTCAAGCATATACTAGGTATAAGCAAATTAATATTGGATTATGTGTAAAATTATGTGTGTTGTCATATCAACAGTTTTTACATGCTTGAAAGAATAAATCAAATCAAATCAAATCAAACTACCTGAGGTAGTGGTTTATTTTTATTTTACTTAATAAATATTGAGATGTTTGCAAATTATCTATTAAAATGTAAATTTTCTGTTTGATTGCATTGAGTATTTGTTAACATGAGCTTGTTCTTCTGTGTAAAGGTGAGAAGTGGCTCTATGGTTGCTGGTTCTACAGGCCTAGTGAAACCTTCCACCTGACCACACGCAAGTTTCTGGAAAAAGAGGTCTTCAAGAGCGACTACTACAACAAAGTGCCCATCAGTAAAGTCCTGGGAAAATGTGTGGTCATGTTTGTGAAGGTAAGATGCTCTACAGAAACTGAACAACATGCAGAAAATGGTTCCATGTAGTTTATCACAATGATTGTGACAATTTTTAAAATGTTTTTCTGTAGGATTATTTCAAAATGCAATCTGAGGGCTACAGACCTGAGGATGTCTATGTCTGTGAATCCCGCTACTCTGCCAGGAATAAGTCCTTCAAAAAGATCAAGATATGGGCTGTACCTGGGAGCTCTGTCAAATTAGTCCCTCGGGAGATGCCTTTGCCTGTTGTCCGTGTAGCTTCCATGTTTGCCAGACCTGACCAGGACAAGCTGACAGTTTCATATGTAGACAGCTGCAGTTTTGTGGACAAGGTGAGGTGACACTGCATTTTCTAGGGTTTGACAGTAAATGGTATGTTGCCTAGTTTTCACATTTTTTTTCTGATCCAAGATGGAATAGTATATGGTGAGAGGAGTTAGTTCTAATTAAGACCTTATTGTTTCTCAAGCTGTTTATTATCCTGTGAGTGCCTGGGTCATGTAGCACCAAATAAAGGAACACAAGAAAGAGAAATTATAGGCATAGATAATATGGGCGTTGCCAGATTTTAATATTGCTATCTTTGGCCTCATCCTAGAGGCCAGAAGAAACATGACAGAAGCCATCGGATCAAAGAATAAGGCCAGAGTTCAGGTTTGAATGAGTGTATCATTACCAAGCAAGTGCACTGTCAGTTGGCCTCAGCTACAGGGGATTAATTAATCTTGTATTGGATACCTGCATGTCTTGACAAGGTGGCAATGGAATGGGTAATTCCAGTTTAAAAAGTTTGTCACTCACAATATAAACATCTGAGTCCTCTGTGTGTGCAAATGTATTAATTTAGGAGAGAGAGGATGTCCCTATGGAGATGAGTGGAGCTGAGCCCAGCTGTCACTACTATGAACAATTAAACTACAACAACATGTGTTTTAAAGTGGGAGACTACGTTTACATCCAGTCACATGGTCTTTCAAAGCCTCGAGTTGCCAGGTTGGTGAAAGTATATTGTGCTCCCAAGTGTAAATTGTGTCTTGTTAAAATAAGGTCTGATGCAACATTGATGCTATATTGTAATTATCAATTTGTTGTTGTTAACATGGCTCCTTTGACTGGGCTGCAGGATAGAGAAGCTGTGGATGCAGAATGGAATGACTTTATTCTTTGGACCCATCTTTATTCATCCTGAGGAAACAGAGCATGAGCCCACAAAGATGTTCTACAAGAGAGAAGTGTTTCTGAGCCACCTGGAGGAGACCTTGCCCATCACCTGTGTCATAGGTATTGTTCTGATAACTTCCAAAAGCTTACACTCACACATTACAGTAGGCCACTACATTGTTCATCTAGTACACTTAGTTTGACATTTTAGGAAATAAGCTTTTTTGCTTTTTGTCACTGTGGCCCGGGTTTTAGTCAGAGTTGCGTCAGGAAGGACATCCAGCGTTAAACACGTGTCAAATGTCAACAGGCAAATTGTAATTGTGATGATTCGCTGTGGCGACCCCCTGACAGGAAAAGCCGAAAGTGACATTCATTTTTTTTATGCTTCCTCTCTGCTTTCCAGGCAAATGTGTGGTTTTCCCTTTTAAGGACTACCTGTCATGCAGACCTACTGAGATTTCAGAGGAGGATGTCCTGCTGTGCGAGAGCCGCTACATCGCGACTGAGAAGCAGATGAAAAAGTTTAAGGGTCTGAAGCGCTTCTCATACTCTTCCAAAGTGGTGGAGGATGAGAGCTACTATTTTAGGTTTGTCAGGGAACCACAACATGAGATTTGAAGCTTTTTATATTCTTTGCTCTGTCTGAATTTCTATTTTCTCTTGCAATGATATCTCTAATGATATCTTACATAGGAAGTTGATCATGCCACAGAAGGAAGCATCACCCTTTCTGGACAAGAAAATAGATGAGCTTGAGGTTAAACTGGCTGATATTGAAGATGCTGATGATGATATGGAAGACATGGATGATGAAGAGGAGGCTCCAGAGACTGTTTCTATGCCTCAAATGCAAACCCCACTTGTAAGCGATATGGACATCATGCCATACACACCTTCTCAGGTACCCAGACACCTCCCTCCCGCAAGCTCAAATCTTACGTCTAAAGGCTTCAAACCATTGCTAATCATATTCAAGATGTTTGTTTGGTAACTTGGAACTTTGTGTTTAGTCTACTCCTAAAGTGAAGGGATTATCAAAAAAAGAAGGGGCCAAGAGGAAGATCAACATGAGTGGCTATATCCTGTTCAGCAGTGAAGTGCGAGCAATCATCAAAGCCAGGCACCCAGACTACTCTTTTGGGGAGCTGAGCCGACTTGTGGGCACCGAGTGGAGGAACCTCGAGGCTTCCAAGAAAGCAGAGTATGAAGGTGAGAAGAAGTGCTCTGTGGTTGTGAAAGTCCTTTGACATGAGAGAAGTCGAAACTTAATATTTCCGTTGTTTGCAGAACGTGCAGCCAAACTAGTGGAGCAACAAGAGCGTGAGAGGCCACCCCAGAAGCAAGTGTCCCCTAGAGCAGGTACCCCAGCAGGGGCACTGATGGGGGTGGTGCCTTCGCCTAGTACTATGGGAATGATAAACCAGACCATGGCACCTGTGTCAGGTAACCCCTCTTAGAGACAGCACGAGTGTTTGACATCAAGGCAGCAGGGAAATGAGGCTGGACTGTTAAAAAGTGTAATTCTTCAATTTTCTAACCATTTTAATCATATTTATCTCAAAAAAGGCATTTTTAAAGCAACATGTATTTTCTTTTGCTGCTGTATCATGTTTTTTATTTACAGTTTAATTATCATTTGAAATTGCATGACACTGACTGCATGATTGATGCTAGCATTGAATAACTGACAATTTCATTTAACTTTTATGCTTTTTTGCCTGCTAACATTTTCAGACCCATTTGTATTGATTGCCCCTTTCGCACACTGAACCTTTAACATCAGTAGAATTGGCCAGTGGTGGTGGTGTATCTTTCACACTTTGATCAAACATACTACAAAATTCAGTGTCATGTCTTTTTATATCATCTGCGTTTTCCCCCCTCAGTCACCACAGCTGGACAACAAAAGCGAGTTGTGGAAAAATGTACACCTCAGATTTAGGTCATTCTAAATTTTCACTCTATACAAATGATTGATTTGAATCATATCACAGTTATATAAAGTGGCATATATAGTTTCGCTTGGTGGTTATTAAAAACCACAGCTAAGTAAGAACATTGTAACATTACACAAAGATATTGCTGCTTCTGTTCCCACTACAGTTGAAGTTGCACATTTGGAGACCATTAACTATTCATGAGCAAACATGGAATGAGCCAGACACCAAAATGTAATTATGTCTTAAGGTGCGTGGGTGAAAGGGGCCAGTGTGTGCAATAGTAGTGCATGTTATTTTAGAGTCAGCTGCATGTCACTTATGCATGAATATGTTGTTGTCCTCTCCTTGCCCTCTTCCCCAAGGCATGATGGGAGCTTACGGCCCACCTTACATGCCCATGCAGGGCCCTCATGAGGGCTTGTTGAGTGTGGCCCCAATGCCACCTCACCCTGCAGGGGGGCAATACCTGCCTCCTCACCATCTGCACCAAGGTATGCCTAGGTACCCTGGCATGCTTCATCAGGGTAAGGGCCACTGTCCTAGTCACACCAGCTCAGTCACATCCAGTCACATCTCTCCTGCTAGGGGGGTTTACCTGGTCCACAGACTGCACAACCTGATCTACTTGCAGAACAGTCAGAGCTCTCTGGTTTTCAGCAGCCTTTCTCAAAGTTTGCTCATATCCCACACCTAAAATATACAGGAACCACATCCACATGTATAATGCATGTGAAAAAAACCAAACAACTAACATTCAACAGATATTGAAAAACTAACATTTCCTTAAGTCATTGTAGAACACTGTTGTAGATCTTAGTATAAAGCACACCAGCATGACCTTACCACCATTACCAAATGCACAGAAATTGAAGTATTGTCATTTAACAGGTATGATGGGCGCTGGTATGAATGGCATGTCAGGAAGTCCTGCACCAGGGAACTTTATGCAACAGGTGAGCCCAGTCCAGAAAATATTGGCCATATGGGCTTTATGTGACTTCACATACTTGTAAAATATACATGAAATTCTGGTTATGAATCTTCTTGAATAATTGAATCTTTCTTGCATAATTTATCATTACTCTCACAATGTGCTTCATTCATGCAGCTACTGTTTTCATTGATTAAATGTTAGAACATACTGTAGTTTAAATGTGTAAATTAGACAACTGCAGCCCCACAATACCTTGCTATTATACAATATAATATGATAACATACATATATATCGTTATTCAATTTTAGACTGGGCTATTCAGCCCGGGACAGCACGCTCCTCCACCATATCCAGGACAGGGCCAGTTAGGCCAGCCATCACACCTGCAGCCCACCACTCCCATGTTTGTGGCTCCACCACCAAAGACCCAGAGGGTGCTCCACTCAGAGGCCTACCTGAAGTACATTGAGGGCTTGCATTCAGAGTCTAGCACTGTCAGCAAGTGGGACCAAACTCTCAAAGGTGGTGTGCTTTAAGTGATTTTTTTTTTTTTTTTTAACTACTGCCTCTTGCTGAGTGTGAGTAGAAGTGACACTGTGAAAACAATACTGACAGAACAGAAACTTCATATTTTCTTAAATATAAGTATATTATAAATTATACATTATAATTCATTATTAAAATTATAAATACAGATCTATATATCTGGAAAGTACTACATGAATTTTCTTAAGGATACATTGTGAGTTCCATAGCATATTAGACTTTTATAAAGGAAAAAAATGGTTCACCTGTTAAGTACTTTAATAAAGAATCCTGTGTTTCCATAATAGCTCAAAGGCGAGATGCTCATTTGACCAAAGAGCAGGAGAGCCGGCTGCCGGCTCACTGGCTGAAGAGTAAAGGAGCCCACACCACCATGGCAGATGCACTGTGGCGTCTGCGTGACCTAATGCTGAGAGACTCTCTGAACATCTGTCAGGCTTACAACCTGTAACCTTTAGGACATTCCAGCCACTCTAACCAGCTCACTCACTGCTTTTTATCACCAAGCTACAGAATTTAGGGAGGATTATACAACATAGAAGCAATATTTTATTATAGTGAATTGTGATCAATTTTATATTTATTAGCTAACATAATGAGCCTGATAGCTATTTGTGTGTGCATTTAGTTTTTTTATTACAACAGCTGGATTATTTGTGCTGTAAACTCAATTTGTTTGGCTTATTGATACTTCAAAAATAAAATTGTGAATACCTTGTGTATACTATTTTTATTATATTAGGCAAGCATTACTTTACAATAACAAAATATACGGTACATGAGAGGAGACATAAGAGAGAAAAGAAAATCTATCGCTGGAAAAAATGTGAGACTTTGTGGAATCTCGCAAAAATATTGTGAGCTCTTGTGATTTCAGGACTTGACCCGGGTGGTGAAAACAGCTCGGGGCATTGTAGGGAGTCCTCTTCTGGATCTGGACTTAATTACACTGACCGGATCCAGAGGAGGGCCAGACGGATTGCTGCAGACCCCAACCACCCAGGCAACAATCTGTTTGTGCCTCTTCCCTCCAGGAAAAGGTACAGGAATATAAAGACTAAAACAGACTTGAGACACAGCTTCTTCCCCAGAGCTGTGAAATCAATCACTCCCCTAACCCCCAGTTACACACCCACACCCTCCCCCATGGACAGACAGACAGAACACTGGACCTCTGCAGACACACCATGCTCAGACCTCCTCCTAAAGACTGAGATTTGCACTGAGCTGCACCCTATAGTGTCACTATTTTGCTGCTAACATGCTGCTGATCTGATTAGGTCCCATACATCCCTTTTTATTTGTTCATATTATATTGACTTATACAATTTTGTGTTATGTAAATAATGTGTCTTTTAACCCAAGAGCTGCCGGAAAATTCGTTGTGCTATGCATAAGGACAATAAAGATTCTGGACTTAATTCTTGATTTGACTTTGTACCATCGATTTTTTTTGTCCCCTCCCGGGCTCCGTAAAATAGTAATGCAGGGAAGTACTTTTTTTCCGATTTTGTCACATCCGGAACAGAGGCTCAAGATAGGGTAATTCTCTTTAGTGTTTGCCCTGGATTCCCAATGTCCACCTTTCCACCGCCCGCATTTTGATAAAAAGAATAACAGGTTGACGCTTGAAACTGGCCATTAACAAAACCAAACCTTAGTAAATTAACCTGTTATATGGAGTAGCTAAAAACCGAACAAAAGGAACGACGAGGTGAGGTTTATTTTGTGCTGTGGACTTGGCGAGGGTCGGGGTTAGCTAGCTGCCAGTTTCACCGGTTCTTTCCAGAGCCATTAGGAATTGATACGAGGCGTTTATTTAACTCACTTTATAAACTACTTCCAGGTAGTGTAGCTAATGCTTTGTGAGGTAAGACATTGCTGAAGACACGGTTCTTGTGGACATTCAAACGTTAAAAGTCCGTTTTTCAGAGGTTGTTCCAATACCTGTTATGTCTATTCATCCCTGCTCCTGCTGCTAGTAAGCTAGCTTGTTAACATGGTCCTCTGGGGGAAGATTGTACAATAACCCGACGGCCTGATTTAATCAATTTCTTAGCACCCACAGTAATGCCAGCTATACAACCCTTTTGCACAAATTATCACGTAATTAAGAAATGTCCATGTCCAGTAACGGGAGAGGCACTCTAATATTTGGAAGCGGTTGATGATTCGTGTATGTAATCTCTATGTAATGTTAAAGTTAGCATTTTATTAACAAGTTAAAGAGGCTTGTGTAGATTACTTAACATTACACGAAGCACGTGTAAAAACTGGTAATCGCGTTGATTTTTAGCAGTATTGTGATAGTTAGCAAAGGCTCCAAGGCCCCAGAACATCCAGACTGATCGACACCGCCCAGCTGTGCATCTTGGATGAGAACAAAATTGGTTTTGTTGTTGTTGTTGTTTTTATCAGGAGCATCCTGACAACCAGGGTAGGGCAAAATGTTGGCGAGGAAACAAGTAAAGCCAAGCAAACAGCGGTGGTGGTGTTGTCTCAGCTAACGTCGGTTGGCTGTGTCAGCACCTCACAATAACACCCATTTGGTTTCCCTCGTTCTTGTTGGCTGTGACTTTGAAGTTCCCTCTTTAATGTTGATATGCTGGGTGACTTGTGACCTAAACAAAGTGCATAGATATACAGTGTTCGTGCAGCGCAGTCAAATACTAATTATCATTTTGTCTGGCAGTATTGTCAAATTAATGACTTGTTGAAAATGAATGTGCCTAACTTGCCGTGAAACTAATCACTTCACAGTGAATTTATCTTAATATTGCTACAGATGGAATATTTTATCAAAATGTTATGATTTGCAAAGGCAGGATATAAAAAATCTGTAACTGGCCAAAGACTACAGTGCAGAAGCCAGATGTGAACTCAGTCATTCACTGTTTTGTTGTTTAAATCTTATCCTGTAAAGCTGAATATTCTCAGCACTTGTCAGATGACTTACACTGTATTGAAATGATGTGTACGGTCTATTGCCAGTTTAAAAATAATGATTTAATGGTGCAAAATGCATTCATTTAAAGATTGAAAGTTTAATATGAGGGTGCAGAAACTACCTGCGAAGGACAGTGGCTCCATGGTGAGCAGGTGCAGGGGTCTTCCTTTGTAGATTTTACATGTTCTCACCATTTCTGCATTGCATTCCTCTTTTCCAGGGAGAGCTTACATTCAGACCTCCTCAATCAACCGTTCCTGCCACTTGAGCATTCACAATTGCTGCACTGCAAAATTCTTATCTTAAAGCTATAGCCAGCTAAGCTAGACCAACAAGGATGTCTCAAGTCCAGTTTCACTGTCCAGCTAGCCCCATGCCTGCTGCCTCTGCCCCGCTGCAGTTGGGGCAGCCACAGCCTGGCTACAGCATCCCTTGTGCATCAGGCACCCTGCCCTCAGAGAGCGCCAGCCAGCCCATCAGGAGCTCTGCTCTCCCTGCGGGCTCAGCCACTCCCTATAATACCTCCACAGGTTTGTTTTATTCATTTGCTTCTTTAAAAAGCATACATCTTTTCTTTCCTTTTTTTTTTTTTTTACATTAAACCTGTAGTTCATCTGAACAGTAAACTGCTACCACTGTTCAGCCCCTAACAGTGGTGGTTGCAAATATTAAATTTTTTCATTTACTATAAATGTGCCAAGTGTGTATATACAGTGGGTACGGAAAGTATTTAGACCCCCTTAAATTTTTCACTCTTTGTTATATTGCAGCCATATACTAAAATCATTTAATTTCATTTTTTCCTCATTAATGTACACACAGCACCCCATATTGACAGAAAAACACTGAATTTGACAGTTTTGCAGATTTATTACAAAAGAAAAACTGAAATATCACATGGTCATAAGTATTCAGACCCTTTGCTCAGTATTTAGTAGAAGCACCCTTTTGAGCTAATACAGCCATGAGTCTTTTTGGGAATGATGCAACAAGTTTTTCACACCTGCATTTGGGGATCCTCTGCCATTCCTCCTTGCAGATCCTCTCCAGTTCTGTCAGGTTGGATGGTAAACGTTGGTGGACAGCCATTTTCAGGTCTCTCCAGAGATGCTCAATGGG